GATGCCGATGACGATGCTAACGTAGCTTCTGTGAATGCACCAAGCTCACGACACGATACGGGAAATTCTCATAAATATTATGGATTCAGAAAATGATGCGTTCATCTATGTCCCCTTGATGATACGATCAAGTTGTGACAATTAGGTAAAACTCCTTCAATATTTTTTCAATCCGTGTATTGCTTGGGTATTATCTTATGGGCATTTAATATAATCTTCAAATTTTTTGTGTTACTTCGTTGGTGTATTTGCTGAATTGGATTTGTTTTATGAAAATAAGCAGCTTTGAAGTTGTTTATATGTATAGATTTGATAGTTTATTTGTTTTAAATGATTGTTATTTATTTTAATTTTAAGCTATTTTGTTATTTTGTTGAGATTCTATTAAGGCCCTTTAATTTTTTATCAATAAAAAAATCGCTCTTTTTTTGTAACGTCTGTATCATTAGTTTTTTGGGATAAGTATAACACTTAATATTTCGTTTAGAAGATAGCCTTAAACGGGTCTTAAATCAGATGGGTTTTTTTCATTAATGAAGCTAAAAATACGTAAGCCTATTTTTCAACGCAGGCCTGCATCCAGCTATGAATGATATAATCCCTAGCTTGGATAGGGTTTCATCCAAGGGTTATTATCCACGTATTTTCCAAGAAAGTATGTTCTTAAGACTATCAGTAAATCATGAATAAGAGTGGCAGTCATTCTATATAACATAAGATGATGAAAGACTCTGAGTTAAATAGTTGGCCGGACAACTGGAGCTTGAGTGAAGCGTAGGCTTGAGTAGGTTAAAAGAGAAGAAGATACACCTTCGCGAGGCGGGTATCACGACTCACCTGCCGCCGCGGCAGCCTGTGCAACTGCGACTCGGTTGTAGACGCCCGAATAGGCCGCATTTCCGCCAGCTGCAGCCGCAGCCGCCACAGCTGCTGCCGCTGCCATTGTGCCTCCTCCACTGTTGGCATTCATTGAAGCCTGCAGGGGCGAAGGTGGTAGTAGTCCCGAATCCAGGTAACTGGGCAGGCAGGAGGCTGCGTTCAGGCTAGTCTCGGTAGTGTAGACATGAGGCCCAGCTGGAACGAGTGAAAAGATGGAGAAGTTGGGCAAGTAGAAAAGGCTTGAGATCTGAGGGAAATAAGAGCTCAACAACAACAACAACAACAACAACAACAATAACAACAACATAGACTTGATAACCTGGCTTATTGTGACATATTTTTCGAACTAAGTATTGTTTTCGTGACTACCAGTAAATCACTAATATGAGATGTATTCACCCAATTTTATTTAAGGTGATGAAGGACTGGTAGAAGAAAAATTTTCCCACAATGATATAAGTTGAGCTGACGTTTCCATTGAATTTCACATAGCCATGCTTTCCCAAAAGTTGTTCTCATCTGCAGTCTACTCTGGATAAGAACAACTTTTTGGAAAGCATGGCTATGTGAATTTCAATGGAAACGACAGCTCAACTCATAGCATTGTGGGAAAATTTTTCTCATACCAGTCTTCCATCACCTTAAACCAAATTGGGTGAATACATCTCATATTATTGTGACATGACTTTCCATTTCGAAGAAATTCATCAAATCGTCTCACCGGAAACCGAAGTAGGATTGCTGCGAACTGAAGTGAAGCTGGATTATGCAGACAAGTCCTCGGCTCATTGTCCTGCGACCTGGATAAATCTGTGCTAAACTTTCGTCTGTATCGCCGTGACTGACATTGTCAGAGCAAGGATCCATAGTTTACGATGTAGAACAAGAAAAAAGGTGGTTGGCTGCAACCCCAGTCACTTTTATATGCACTTAATCTTGCGATCATAATGAGGCATACCACAATTCGGTCTACTATCTAGAATTTACTCGGCATTCTTGCATGCTGTCTGTCACCGTTCAAACGAAAGTTAAGCCCAGCTTCATCGGGATCGTAGGACAGTGATCCGAGGACTTTTTCGCACAATACAACAGTCTTTCCTAAGCGGGAATCCTCCTTTGGTTTCCGGCGAGACCATTTTACGAATTCCTTCCAACCAACTTTTTCTTCAAAATGGAAAGCCATCTCACAATAAGGGTTTCTTCGAAATCCATTTGATAACCTGACAACTCTTCTTTTTCGACATATTCTTTTTATCACCTTATTTCCTTTCGCTTTTGTACATGAACCCGGGCGAGCGAAGGAGACAGTTGGGCTTAGGTCTAACAATCTTAAAGGGATATCTTCCGAATAAAGACCAGCACGTCTAATCAGGATGCCTTCAGAGGGCGCAAATCAACGAGAATACTAAAATCTTAAAATGTGAATACGCTTTATAAGTAAAAGCCAAGTTGGTAGCCTACTTTTAACACATATAAGTAATGTAGTCGGCTGCAATGGCAAAATACACGTTCGCTTAATCGATGTTCCCACTACATAAATATGTGATATGGGAAAGAATTTCCCTGAGATCCAAGGGCACACGTGGCAATGTTGCATTGCGGTAACACATCGAGATTAGGTTCGATTCCCACTGCGGTTTAGGTCAAAATTGCAGACAATTTCTTCCTGAGTAAGCACTCCTTTTTGCAAGCTAGGATATGTTAAATTAAATGGAAACATGAGGTCTTCTCCTATAAATATGGGAAAATTCAGTTATCAGTTCTTACTCACCTGATGCGGCCTGTGGTTAGTGGAACTCTTATTCAAGAGTTACTGATGGATTCGAACCATACGCATTTAATAAATTATTATAAAATAATTGCTGATAATGCAAGTTTAGTGGAGTGGTAACGTCGCAACGACACTCGCAATTCGGTATCGAATATCGTGTAAGATCCCGTAGAGTCTTACTGGCAGTCTCGAAAGTTATTCACATCGAGCATACTAAATTAAATAAAGCTGCGTCATCGCTTGTAATACATGTTTGTTTCAGTCAGTCAGTTTCCTTGAAGGTGGCAGCTCTCCGGTGATTGACTGTTTAGCGAAGTGTTAGTGTGCTGTCTTTTTATGTGCACCACGGGATTTCGAATCACATTAAAAGTTATGATGAGGAGGTGATGAGACAAGGTCAAAACTGC